CTAGCGGAAAAGAGGTTTTCGTTCTTCTCCCGACTCAATTCAGTAACAGTAGTGTAACTATGTGATATGGTTCGTTGATCGGATTGATCGCCTGTGATAGATGGCGATAGACAGATGGTTCATCCAGTAATCTGGTGAGAACCTCTCGAAAGTGCCTGCCCTTTTCCAAACTGTTCCCAACAACGACTTCCTAGATGGTTCTATGTAACTAAGTATTTGCAGAGGTGTGCATTTTCAAGGCTGGATACCAGGGTCCTTCCTATGGCTGCTGGATGGCTGACAGAGCTGCTGAATGCACCAATAGCTCATTTCAGGTGGTCTCAGCCTCTCATCTTGATGCCTTGACGAGGTTACTTGTTTCAGAAACAATGTTCTTTTATCTCCCCACTATAGTACAAAAGCAGTTGTGGCTGTGGCTCAGGAGGTAGAATGGGTCGGCCACTAATCAGAAGGTCGGTGGTTCCATCCCACTGCATGTCAGAGTGTCCTTGAGCAAGATACTGAGCCCCAAATTGATTGGTTTGTGAATGAATTAGCTGCTGTTTGTGATGTCCTTTACCATTTATCTCGCCTGAAGTGAACGACATGAATTGCCGAATAAAGGAAAACAAAGACAGGATTTTGTGCGCTGAAAGTCAATTTCCAAGGACCACAATAACATGAGCATATTTGACAGGATAAAGAAAGATAGATAGTGGGAGGAATTATGGTTACTTTACTTGAAACACCTCAAGAAGTCAGATTCTAACAGTAAAATACTATACCAATGCAACCAATAGACAGCCTGCAGGTGGAGGCTGGTCATGCTAAGCTGAATTAATTTAGACAATTGGTAGGTGTTGCAGGTCTACAACTCAGTTCACAGTAATTGCACGTCATTAAAGTTTCTCCACAGATCACAGCAGGACCCCAGGTGGACAAACTAGGTTCAGCCGTGGTTAGCAGGATGCTGTTGTGCACCAGGAGCACCAATGTTCAAGCTCCCATGATCTTAAGAAAGAGATTCTCTCCTTCCGGACTAATGAGAATTTAGATTCAAGGTACGACTGCTCTGCATGCAAGCAAGGACACAAACAGTGCCTTCAATAACAATTTCTCACCTAGCTTGCCTTGGTTTAACAGCGACAGCTTGAGCAAAAGTATTCCACTGTAAATTTCCCCTGTGCTGCTGTGTCAACTTGAATGTTTCCCATGGAGGATCAATCAAAAGGAACATCTTCGCTTATCTTAAACTGGATAAAACTTTATTTAGAAACATCAGACCTATAATAATTCAACATTATTACAGCTTTTAGAGCAAATGCTGCCAGGGTTGTATTGTTTGCTAATGCCTGCCTGTCTCACACAGCCTACGTTCAAATGAGTGGTTTGGGTGGTAGGACACGCAGCACAAATGATTCCCCCCCTTTTTTTTTATGGAAAACGTTTTCCATTGTCTTATTTGGGTTATCAAGTTTTCACTTAAAATGTAGTTTTTTAGGTTGTAGCTGCTGAAAAATAATAATATAGATCTACTTTCAGAAAATAATACATAGATTGAATAGTCTTCCAGCTACCATTATTCAAGCACTGTATGAGCTTGAAAAATATTTTGTCAAAGGAAAACTCTGTCATTATGTTGTATTGGAGGTTACAAATCTATAAAAGACAGTCTGCTTTACAAACTGGGGGCATATGGTTTGAGACACGTGGGTGTTGGAGCGTCTAAGAAAGAGATGTCACTGGTTGCATTATGGGGAATAGTATAAAGCATTTTTGGATTTTAGGGTTTAATAGCATTTAGCAGTGTAGTTGGAGATTACAACCCCCTCACCTCTCCATCCCATTCCAAGCCAGTGTAGGAGAAACTGGAGTGGCTATGAAACTTGCAAAAAACATGAAAGGTCCTATCTTTTTCTAACGAAATTCTTATTTTCAGTTGACCATACACTAATGAAAACATACCTACAAATATTATATTCCATATCAGTAATAGACACATCATTGAATTTACACATTTAGGCACTATCAATAAAAACAGAACATTAGAAACTTTGTAAAGATAGAATTCATGGCAGAGCTTCACTGTGCTCAATACTGTCTGTGCAGAGTTTGACACTAGAAGGATGTTTTCACATTCATCTGCTGAAAGTAGAAAGTTTCTCTGTGCTCATTGAACATCTGATTTTAGGGGGCGGGGCCTACCAGCATGATTTGTGACATCACAAATAGTTTGGAGGTCAGTCCTGGTCCAGTATGCAACTTGTACAGTGTGATGTAGAAACTTGAAGCCACTGGTGCACATCCACTGAGAATGGACTTTACAGTGAAGTAGGAGACATCTTGTGTCCAGCAGGGAAACTTTAAAAATGAAATAAAGTAGCATATTCATAGATTATAGAATTAAATGTGGTAGAGTAGATGACTTTAAGGTTTAAGGAAGATTTTAATGAGGAAATTATACTTTTTTTGTGGAAAAAACACATCAGTCACTCATTATTGTTCCAAGCAGACTATGTGTAGTGTGACTGTAGGAGATCTTTAACTTTGTTCAAATATCTATGCTTATATTGTTTATATTGTAACTATAATGTGTGTGCCATCCTTCACACAATATACTATTGTTTAATTATTGAACAATAAATGTATAAATGTCTACGTCACTTTTTATACATGCATGGGTTTATGTAGACAACATTATGTAAAAAAAAATTTCTATCACATCAGTATAAGTATAAATATTTCCTAATCTTTCACTTCCTTTGTCCTTCTGACTGGCAGCTGATGGTGTGATTCTGCAGCCCTAATACTATAATCCAGATTTATGTCATAGATTCATCATCCATTCATTTCTACTCAGCGTGTTCTTGTGTGGAAGTTCTCTAGGGCTTTTAAATAAGTTCCATAGTTTTTAATGAATGTTCTTTTTTCTAATTTGTGCTAATTCTTTAGCTTTCTGCTGCTGCGACTTGTAACTTCTCCTCAGAAATAAGACATTTTTCATCTCATCTCACTTTGCTAATGCCGGGCAGGCGCGTGCCCACACAACACACAAACAGATCTCCCACACTTCCCCTCTCGACCCTCAAGCCTCTATAAATTGTCTGGAAACATAAGGTCTGTGCCTCCTGTGTGTCACACTGACAGGCACTCTTATTTGATGTACAATTAGAGAAAGCATTTGTTTGATTGGATTGTAATCCCCTATTGTGAGAGTGAAATAGCCACAAGCTATTTTTAGGCCATTTTGAGAATATGACAGAGCTTTAGTCAGAGGGGTGATGGGAAAGAAAAGGCTGCACTTTGTTTATGGAGCCCCTCCATAAAGCTGTTTGGTGGCTGCGTTCAGAACAATGCCTCAAGCTGTGACATCAGTGTGTTTGCTGTAAGCTTGATTAAAGACTAAAAAGACTGCAACTAAATTAGAAGCTGCTCACTTGATTTGTCTAACTCGCTCTTCACATTGTCCCAGTTATCAGCCTGATGTATTTAGTAACTGTGGAAATGTTAACTAGAATTTAAAATAATGTTACGAGTTATATTATTCCAATACAGTTTTAGACTTCTAAATTGTTAAGCTTCCACTTGGTATGAAAGTCAGCTGTCATGTTACAGTGCAACCATACCATACTGATATCTATTGAAAATAAAGCCAATGTGATGTTAATTAATATTTCCTATTCCAAGAAAATGTTAAGCCTATAATTTAATTTTCATAGCGTAATGACAGTAACAGAACCCAAAGGCTGCCTGGAAGGCGTGAAAAAAGTACTCATTCTGTAATATGGACCTTTCAAAGGGTCACCAGGTAAATCTGAGGACTTGCGAGATGATTAATGGAGTAAGAAGGAAGAGAAAAACAAGACTTTCTTATTTATATGGAACCATGTGAGAAATTTAGAGGGGAAATGTGGAACATCCAGCAACTCATAGACATATAAAATGGAACAAGGGGTCCTAACAAGACACAAGTGGCTCCCAACGCATAGATAGACCTGATTTTGGTGGACCTTTTCCACCAAATTAGTTCTGGTTCCTGAACAGGTTTGCTCCAGGATTCTTTGAATCTTGGTGCTATCTAGCAAACCAGTCTGAATTTCCACCAGTTTAGAGGTGAAATAATTGTAATTGGATACATCATCAACAGAGTGCACTGCACAATGCACACCGACCTGTAGAATATGACTCACCCACTTCGGTTCCCAGGGAAAACTTTCTGGCTGGAAATACATTTTTCAGGTTCTAAACCAATTTGGTCGAAAGTACTAAGACAAAGAGAAGCCTCGCTTGTTTTTACAATGAAATACGCCGTTCCCCCCCCCCGAACATATAGTGGAACAAAATACGGTTGGCAGATGCCCGGTGGCCCCCTACCCACCTGTGCTATATGTGGCACCAAGCCTCTATGGTGAAAGAGGGCATGTACAACATACATTCACAGCACTGACATCAGTGTGAGTCCATCAACGTGATGATACTTTGAGACAGGCATCAGGTATACGGCAATTCTATTCATTTTCAGTTTAAATTGATTAGTTTTGATTAGATATATTTTGAGATCCTTTTAACAGTGAAAAAAGTTAGCAAGTAGTCATTCCAGGCATATATATTTAATTAAATACTTGGAATCATGAATTTGGGCCCCTGACCCCTGCAAAAGCTGTTAAATAAAAACATAGTATCATAAAAAAGTGTACAGTGACTAAAGTACTTAAATTAATTACTTTCTGCCACTGCAGAAATATAATCCAGAAGCACAATGATATGATTTTAGAAAATAAACAGTTTACATGAACTCTTGAAAAAGGGCTAAAACATGCAAATAATGATCAAACGATCACCACTTTTCGCAGTGTGAAATTGTGGTAAAAAAAAAAACACAGTAAAAGAGGAGAATAAATGAGAAGAAGCACTCAGTGTGATGCTCCAGGTTTTACAGGCACAGGGCAAAGATTCTCTCTCAAACCCCATCTTCTGCCTGCATGACGTCACACTGGGTCAGGGGGAGGAGACAGACTGACCTGCTCTGTGAGGCGCCGTGTCCTTAGGAAGAATCCCAAAAGACATCCAATGACCACAGCCAGCACCGACATGATGAGGAGCCCATTCTGTTTGCAGACGTTCTTCACCCTCACCCACACTGCGTCCAAAGCCACGGCCATCGTGAGTCACCTGTCCTGCGTCCTACCAGCAACCCATAAATGTACCCAACCAAAAGCCTAAAATCCAGGTGAGAGGAGGAAGACAGAAGCAAAAAAAAAGAGTGAATGAAGAAAAACTCCAGGATACAGATGGGACGCTGTGTGAAATATCCAATCCTCCGTGATGTTTTAAAGCACCGGTGGGCTCAGCATCCCTCTCGTCCTGTCGCTGCGGCAATCTGCTCTAAGCTAAGAAGATCCTCTCAATTTTCAGGCATCCCCTCCCACCACACTCCACCCATCAGTGGCCCTGTATGTGATGACCCACCACCAGGGGGGTGGAACAGCTGGCAGCCATGTCCCTGGGGGTTAACATCACCAATCCTGTTAGTGTGCTACTGTATTAAACCGGTCTGTGGCTGGATTAAAGATCCATGAACAATCTGATAAAGGTTAGCAGAGTGGAGAAACCGCACCTCACCAGCCTTCTGAAGAGACAACAGACGACATTATGGTTTATGAACAGCTTTTTTAGCATCATTGAGCTTCATTACACAGCAATATGACATATAACCAGATTGAATAATCATTACTGTATGTAATACAGGCTAACTTAAAAGTCCAGTGTGTAACATGAACGCTGATACATGAACCAGAATTCTGTTACTGTGTTGCATATTTTTCACCTAAAATCGTTTCAGGAACATATTTTAGTGTACTGTTTATCTGGAATATGAGATTGTGTGTGACCAAGCGAGCCACCATTGTTTCCTGCTACGGACAAGTCGAAACTGCACAGCCAATGAGTGCAGGTCAACTCGCAGTACATCACGTCTGGCTCCTCATGGCGATGACCATAACACCAGACTGGAGGCTTCAAAATGGTACTCCACAAACCAATGGGTGATGTCACGATAGGTTCACACTTGGTTTAAACACAATGCAAATTAGTCAACACTGAGCATAAATCATCGTTTAAATATGCCGGGAATTCCAGTGAGGTTGCATTGCACTTACAACTTCCTCTAAACAGATTACAAACAGTCCACATCGGTGCAGCATAGCCCGACATATCCTGCCTTTTAGTCCCTACTACAAATCAAGCTCCGAAAAAACTGGATCCTACATTTCCCACAATGCAGCTCGATGGTATGTTGAGAATGAATGCTTAAATCTTTTTAACTGCATGTCCCCAGATTCCTCCAGACAAAGCACAAAAGACACTGTACAACTGTTTTTACAGGATCAGTAGGATAAGTAGTATGTAAAATCAGAACACACAGAGGAAAACGTTGCATAAGAAAAACAGATAAAATACACACACAGTACAATAAACATTATTGCCATTATTGATCAGTTACATAGTTCTGAATATTATTACAGTCATTATTATTGCGCTATAATTGTATAGGAATTATGCTCAGTACTATGCGTAACTACCACATTTTTATATTATTGCATTGGAGTGGTCCAATCACTTGATAAAAGAAGTTTGGTGCTGATTTCATTCTAAACATCTAATCAGAGGCAGTTAGAGCTGAAATGCCAAATTGATGCTAATGTGAAGTAAAAGAGAAACACTGATTGGTCCTCCGGGCTCTTATTGGAGCCTAAGCAACGCAATTCTCTGCAGTTCATTAGGATGACAGCTGTGATCTGACTTCTTAAACTCCCCTTAATGAAAATTTTATAGGTACCCCATAAGGGCCAAAACCCATCCACTCAGTATTTGAAATGTGTAATTCTGGGTATAATTATGGCAGTTTGTATTTAATTCAACCCTCCCTAGATAGGTTATTTTACAGAAAAATGTGATACAAATGTGAATGTAGTACAATTACGAGCATCGACTTTGGCCATATCTGCTTTCCTTGAAGATGGATGAAAATCTGAAGAACTGTGTTTTTGTTTCTTGGCTCGCTTCATTGCTCAATGCTCATTCAAAATTCCAAACGCAACATCAAAATCAGAGACTGTGATGAATATGAAACTAGTGAAGATGTCCACCAGAGAGGGGCACCAAGGAAAAGACGTGCCTTTGCATCTCTCTCTGTGCCTCTTAAACATGAAATTGTTCTAGTCTATGCCTGACCTGGATTTGTTTTTGAACATTTCTGCATGTTTTTAAAAGTCTATGAATATATAATTTAGCCTATATAATGTTTTAACATGATGAGAGGTTGAGTTTTCACATTCATCTGTTGAAGGTGTCAAGTTTCTCTGTTGTTACTTTAAGTCTCAGTTTAACATGTGGACATACCAGCAGGATTTTGTGACATCACAAGTAGGAAGCCAGTGGTCTGTGGAGGGCCACTGACCAAGTGGCAGTATTAGTTGAGTTGGGAGTAAGAACGTGTTGTATTCTTGGCAGGGTAATTTAACTCTTTTGGTCAATTGGCGAGAATGCTGACTATCTGCCTGGGGGGCCATTGTTCCGATCCCAGTAGTTAAAACAAAAGTCCCATTGGACCAAAAGCAAGGTCATTGCTTCCCAAATACTAAATTCAGTATCACGCCAAAGCATGACACTGACACTATCCTTTTTTGTGTCAAGGACCCCCCAATTCATGCCATGGAGTTTAGTTTAGGAACCAAGTTAAGGAAAAGATCATAGTTTGGATTAGCGAAACCATGTAATACACACACTGGTTCACCATGTAGCTTTCAAGCAGTGCAACTGCATTGAGAGTGTGTTTTTTATGAGCAATGGGCCTTCTGGGCAATGGCCATTTTGTTCTTTGGTAGACTAACAAGCCAGTCTCTAAACCCCTGCGTGTCCTTGAAGTAAAGGGCCTTAAGTTTGCTAGTGGCTGTTCTCGCCATTGTCCAACGAGCATGTGCTGAGATCTCCAATCATCTGGTGTCACAAGACTTTTCAGGATAACAGGCTGTCAGAGAAATGGGCCTTCTGGTCAGTGGGACATTTTTCTGACTATTGGGGTTTTGGAACAATGGTCCATCGGAACAATGGCATGACACCCCAGGCAGATAGTATCCCAGCATCCACCCACACTTCGTCAGCTAACGTTGGCTGGGGATAAAACAGTGTACGCTAAACCTAAACCCTGATAGCATCCAGGACCAGCTTCCATACAGGGGATGTGCTAGTCATGAACGGGGCTTTTTTAACATAACCTGTAACCCCATAAACATACTGGCCTTGGTTACGACTGTGGTTAATAAGCTAGTTAGCTGGAGATGCTAATAATTGCATCTGCTTTAAAGCAGATGAACACATTAGAGCACTTTTTATAATCTATTCCTTACAGTTTTACTTTTGTTTTTGGAGAGGCTGCAAATAGGGGTTTAGTGGTCAATAAGAGCAATTTACGATTTTAAATGTGTTATTTCTATTTTGACTCACAAAAGCTTTCCCACAATGTATCATTTAATGAACTGCTCTACTACACAGATGCCGTCTGACCCTTGCTCATTAACTTCCTCTCTTTCCCTCCTGGCACATTACTAATAATTCAGCCATGTTAAATTCAGAAAAATATCAGTGATGGAAGTAAATCTCGATCCTTATGTATGAAATGAAAAATTCAACTTTAAGGTGAATTCATTTTCTATAGTACAGTATAGTGATAGTTAGATCTTAACCACTTCACTTACACAGATGGAAGTGACTCATTTCAATTCATATTCATTTGTTTTACCTGTTTGAGGACAGTAGGAAAACGGGGACATACACCTGGTATCAGCCTACAAGATTAGAGTATGACTTTGCAGAGTTAGTTTCTTCCAGATGAAAATGAATTTGCTGCCATTAGTATGATTCTGACAACCAATCATCATGCTGCTGCCAACATATGTAACCGTGATTATCTTTGTTAGGTATTATTTAATTGAGGCTCATTTTGCATCCCATCCCAATCAAGAGAATATTTATCAAATTCATGATAGAGGTGTATCTTATATATGGGTAAATTATATATTCCTCTGTATTTTGTATTGCGTAATATTCTTATCTTAAATGAATGTGCTCTGGGTGAAATGATAGTGAAGTATGTAGTAAAAGCTATGCACAAAGCTTCCAAAAATATCCCAAACATGTAAAGGATCACCTACTAATGCATGTCGGACAGAACAGATAAAAGGCCAGTTATCACATCACATTCATCAGATTTAATAAACATTATATATCCATTAAGCCTTCTCTGTATGAGCAGCCTCAACCAGCTGCTAATGAAGCCCACTTACCTAGGAACATGGAGAAAATTAGCTTCAACAAAATAGGTCAAACACAAAATCTCTTCAGTCCTTACGCAAGTCTATTTTCTGTATGTGCAGAGTGTCCTAGAGTTAAGCTATAGATTTGTTAATTACGTTAATTAATTTGTTACTGAACTTTCCACAAAGCATGCAGGAAAGCAGTGTCTCCATCCAATCAGTGATGTCAAGTGTTGAAGTGGCTAAACTATCCTGATGCCCAGTATTTTTGTTACCTTAAAATTGTGTGACTGTTTATCCAAAATGCGCAGCAGCTGCATCCAATAAGGATAACTGACCGTGTCCAATGACAATCTGTATTTAAAGGCTCACCTTCCTTTGCTGCGTGGTAGGGAAGTGGCATGCATGAGGGCTTTACAGTTCAGATGGATTTCATTTAATAATGTATGTAAAAATGCCTTTTGAGAATAGCCAGGGGATTAGCACAAATGCATTTGACTGGACCTTCGTGTACAGTAGCTGTCGTTTCCTGCCCTGTCACGTGATATCCATGACAATTTTTCTCATGTTATTGTTGGCACAGCTGTCATCCACTTTTGGTCTGTAGCAGCAGGATGCAGTGCTGTTGATTTTAAGATTAAATTCAAAGAGAGGCTTAAACGCTTTTTGATGCATTGAAAACAAACCTATAACACTCATCACAGTCAACATTACCTATTTCGCAATTCCAACCTTCAGTTCAGGCCTGGTCACACCAGGCACAGAAAAAGCTGCACATCTTTGCAAAAATATTTCGTTCTAGTAGTTTGGTGTGGAATTAAGTAAGGGCTAACAGAATAGAACTAGTCAGTTACAATAGTTCCAGTATTGCCAATTTCAGGTATTTTAACCAGATTTGATGACCTTTTAAGAGCTTAGCGACAAATCTGGGCAGACATGCTCTCATGTGGCTGAGGCTCCCCAGAGTGTCTTTTCAGTGAGTGGGGCAGAGCATCATCAGCCAGACAGAAATGTGGATGAGCTGTGAAAGTTTATAAAATTAAAAGGTATTTAGA